TTTTAGTTCTAGATTGAGTCTCCCTAAAATGTTAAATTGCCCAGGTGACACTCACATTGTCCACCCTCTGTCTCAGCCTCCAGGAGTTCTGCCATTACAGATGTGTACCAACACCTGCAGCTGCCCTTTGAGTTTTGGCTGTCAGTAATTATGCTCTCTACCATTGTAATAAGACTGCCACAGTGGTGATGTGAGTGGCTTTGCGTGTAGCCCTGTGTCTGGCATAGTGGCATTCAAAAATCCGTGTAGAAGGCCAGTGAGATAGCTCAGTGGACTAAGCTCATGCTTAGACAAGTGCAGGAACCAGGTTTTGATTCCCCAGTACAGCATGCCTCACAGGTGCCGGCCCCAGCCCTAGGCTCCATGAGGCAGAGACCCAGCCCGTCAAGGCTTGGTATTGCATGCATATAATCCCAGTGCTGCAGAAGCTGAAAATAGGAGGATCACTATGAGTCTGAGCTGCATAGTGAGACCTTGTTAAAAAAAAAAAAAAAAAAAAAAAACACCAAAAATACTTGTAAAACATTGTTTTTCCATCCTTTCCATCAAATACTGAGCTTCCGTAAAGCGACTTCAGATGTGAGTCTGCCAATGTTTGATGCACATCTCATTTAAATCATATTTTAACCTACTTAAACTCGAATGTTCAGATGCACTTTCCATTACTTAGTGGTATGTTACCGAGTACTACTTGTGTTACTTTGACTTGTTATTTTGCACTTCCAGATCTTGGAATAATAGAGCAGGTTAAAAGGCTCTTACTTAAGGCCTCACAGTTACTGAATACTTAAAACTTCACAGCGCCTGTGAGGCATGCTCTACTGGGGATTGAACCCTAGATCCTGCGCTTGCCTAAGCAGGTTCTTAGTCCACTGAGCTGGTCATGGTGGGCGGGCTTGAGCCAGCAGGCTAGTAGGGTGAGGGAGGGTGCATAAGGGTGGTGGTATTCAGTGAATAGACAGGCAGGCCAGGGGCGTGGCCCGGCTATGCAGCGTGGTTACGCAGTGCAGTTACTTATTACGTAGTGTGTGAGGCTACGTAGTGCGTCTGAGAACTGCGGCTGCGCCAACGGTTGCCGCTGAATCTTAAGCCGGAAGCTCATGCCGGAAACTTAAAGGTCAGCGGGAAGCATATGCTGGTGCCCAGTTGCACAGTGTTGCCGGCCCCAGAGACAGCCAGGTAGGCCTTGTGTGCCAACATCAAAATTCATGAAACGTACACGCAAAGAGCAGCTGCAGGAGGCCTCGGCCGAATACCTCAGGAGCCGGCAGTATACTTCCGGGGAACAGCTCCTCAAGCAGGGTGTGAGCCTGAAGCAGAACACTGAGGAGATGGCAGCCAGCATTTTGGTCCAGGCAGAGACTGGTAGCAACAACCTTGTGGCTGCAGCCTCATTCCAGGAGGACCCCCAGGGGGCCGAGGAACAGTTTGGCCAACTGTGGCAATTTCTCACCCAGTCAGACCCCCCGCCGGGCTGTGACATTAAGCCGCTCCTGTACCCGCTCTTTGTCTACCTGTACCTCAGCCTAGTGGAGCGTGGCCAAACGAGCATGGCAGAAAGGTTCTACAGCCGCTTCCATGGCCACTTCCTGCAGGTTGAAAGCCAAAGGGATGTGGTAGAGCAGCTGCAGGCTGCCCACACCATTCAGGACGTCCTGGCCAACCCCACGCTTCGTGCCTTCCTAGACAGCAAGTACGTGGTGCGTGTTCAGGAGGACGGCTACCATTACCTGATGCGCTACCTACAGAGTGAGAACCATGCTGCTCTGTGCCACGTTCTCACCATGTACATCCAGCTGGACGTGCAGCCTGCCGGAGGGGCAGACAGCCAGCGCAAGAGCGGAATAGAGGCCCCGCAGGAGTTCAGTCCTGCCCCTGCCACGTTGCTGCAGGATGAGGGCGCCTTGGAGGCCCTGGAGGACACCATCAGGCGAGTCCGGGCTGGGCCCCACTCCCTTACCACCTTCTACTTGTACACCTTCTACCACATGCAACAGCAGCAGGAGCAGCTCTGTCTGCAGCTGAATACTGCTGAGGTTGCCCCTGACCGCAAGCTGCTCGCTGCTGGCTTTGACAACTCCTGCATAAAACTCTGGAGCCTGAGGGCCAAGAATTTGAAGTCAGAGCCCTATGGGACGGATGTCTCACGCGTACGTTTGGCTTGTGATATTTTGGAACAAGATGAGAGTGAGGACAGCGCCAATGCGGAGGTGAAGATCCTGCGGGGACACTGTGGACCCGTGTATGGCGTGTGCTTCCTCCCCGACAGCTCCGGGCTGCTCTCTTGTTCTGAGGATATGTCCATCCGGTACTGGGACCTGAGCACCTTCACCAACACTGTGCGGTACGAAGGACATGCCTACCCAGTGTGGGACCTGGACATCAGCCCATATAGCCTGTACTTTGTCAGCGGGTCCCTTGACCGCACTGCCAGGCTGTGGTGCTTTGAACGCACGTACCCACTGAGGATTTATGCCGGACACCTGACTGATGTGCATTGTGTCAAGTTCCACCCAAATTCCAACTACTTAGCCACGGGTTCCACTGACCAGACTGTGCGACTGTGGAGTGTCCATCAGGGGACCAATGTGAGGCTCTTCACAGGCCACCGAGGCTCGGTGCTCGCTCTCGCCTTCTCCCCCAACGGGAAGTACTTGGCATCTGGCGGCGAAGACCAGAGGTTGAAGCTGTGGGATTTGGCGTCTGGAACCCTTTTGAAAGAGTTGAGAGGCCACGAGGACAGTATCACCAGCCTGGCCTTCAGCTCAGACAGTGGTCTGCTGGCCTCTGCCTCCATGGACAACTCCGTTCGACTCTGGGAAATCCAGGATACACACTACAGAGCTCCCGTCCCAGGCTCCTCTAGGGAGCTTCTAGGTGTCCACAGTGGGCATATGAGCAAGATCCTGAGTGTGCAGTTCATGGGCTCCAACGAGCTTCTGGTGACTGGAGTTGCACAAGAGGGTCAGGAACAGTAATGCTTAGCCTGGCTGGAACCCACTGGGCTGTAGTGGAAAGCCTCTGACTGCACTGTGGACTGTGAAAGCCTTTACCATTTCCTCCCAGTTTTCCCTAGGGTCCCAGTGTTGTGAGGCTTGGATAAGGCTGGGCTTACTTACATATCAAATTGTGCCCTGAGAATAAAACAAGTTGCAATGTGTGGGGAAAAGGTTGAATAGTTCTTTTTTTCTGAAACTGTTATGTCTTGTTTTCTATTAAAGTGCATTTTCATAAAGCCTCTGAGTGTCAGCAGCTCCTTATTTTCAGTATATCTGCAACAACAACAAACCTTTTAGCAAAAACTTGCCATTGACATAGCCTAGTGGTCAAGTATGTGTGCTTTAGCTACATTTATATCTTCATCCCACCTTTTACTAGCTTGTGCTTTTAAGGCAGGTGTATAGCCTCTCTGAATTAGTGTCCTCTTCTGGAATGTAGGAGTAATCAGAAACTCGTGAGGAGTAAATGCATTGTCAGTAAAGAGTTGCTGGGTCCAATGAGGTTTAGTTTCTATTATGGCTTTCTCCTTTTCCCTAAATAGCATCATCTTGAAGTATATCATATTTTTCCACTGACATTAAATTTTAAGTTAAGGAATGGTACATTTAAGTCCCACAAAAAATGAGCTATGGTTTTTAGTAAGGGTGGACAGGGGTAGGGTTGCAACAGCTGACTTGGGCTGAGGCACTGGCACTTTTGTATAGATCCCCGTAGGCACTATTGGAAGCCTTCATGTTGAATTGGATCCTTTTGCTCCCTCATGTAGGCCTAGATAACTCTGATTTTTTGTACCTATAGCTCTGAAATTTGAAGTACAAAATGGCTGTAAAATGGGCCTGTCTGTAAAACTGCCTGTAAAGACATCTTTCTGTATTCATTCTGCTGAAATGTCCCTACTTGTCCAGGAAGCCCTGTGCAAGGGTTTATCCTCTGGCCTCAAAGAGAGGGAGAAAAGTAAAAAAATCCTTTATTGCTATGTGGGGCAGTTCTGCTGAAGATAAGCAAGAAGCCTCAAGGAGGAGGCAGAGAGACAATTCATCAGAGTGGGTTGGGGGTGGAGCTTTGAAGGGTGGTATGGTATGAAAACGGGCTCTGATTGGAGAAGGCCTGGCATGCAGAAAAAAATGAGAGGAAGTTTGTGTTTCAGGAGGGTGAAGAAGAAGGAAGTCAGTCTAGGAGCAGCATGTGGCTAGTTTGGGATCCCCACTCCATGATGAACCTACAGACTGTTGTATGGGCGCAGACCCAGCACCAGGACTATGATGAATACTCCTGTGCTTTCGTCTGAGTAATTCTTCCCAACAGCATGGGAGAGACATACTGTTGTTGCTGGCTCTTTTGTGGTAGGAAAGCTTGAACCCGGGGTTTCATACAGGTGTGCTAGGCAAGTACTCTATCACTCAGTCAAATCACGATCCCTCTAATTGTCACTCATGTTCCCAGGACCTTGAAGATATCACCTAACTCACATCTGGGCTGAATTCTCCATGCTTGGGGCAGGAGCTAACTTTTTTCTGGTTATCTTACTCACCCACAAGGGCACTTCCATCCTTGGCTGCCTATGATGGGGCTGTGGTGCCTTTAACCTTAGCCAGATTTCATGCTTGTGCTCCTCCCTTATGCATACTTCTCTTTGCCTCACCTCAGTTCTGTTATCCTTAATCTCTGGAACACAACTTAATTCTCCGCCACCCAGTTTTGGGCAAGTTTTAAAGAATGAGTAAATTATTGTCCATTTTCTTTTAACATGATTTTACAGCTGTCTCTGACCATGAAACTCAGACAAGAACATGAGCAGGTAAAAAACTGAAAAAAGAATTAAATTGTAATACTTGGTGTGGGACTTACTTTAGGCTTAGAAAGATCACTGGCAAAATTTTAAGTATGGTTTTCCTTTTAGGTGAAGAATCTGACTAGAAATAGAATTCAGGTACTTTCACATTTTAATTCTGAAAACTTATGTATTACTCATGTGAGCTTTCTAATTTTTTTCTCTGCAGATAATGATGCTAAAACTGAATTAGTAAGGTAAGAGTTCTGACTTGTGCAATAATGCCTTTGTATCTGTGTATGTGTATGTGTATGTGTATGTGTATGTGGGGGGGGGTGTTCTGAGGAACCCTGGGTCTTTGCACTAAGCTTCAGCCTCAGCCTTCTTTTGAAACAGGATCTTGTGAAGTCACTAAGTTGCCCAGACTGAGCTTGACTTGCAATCCTCCTGCCTCAGCCTCTCAGGGTGCTGCAATTACAGGTGTGAGCCGGTATGTCTGGCTGTAATATGCTTTTCTTATTGATACTGTTTTATTTGTATAACTTTACTGAATTATTAAAGTCTTGATTTGTTTGGTTATCTGGTTTTTTTTTTAGTGGGCCTGTTCATAGAAACCAAGGCTACATGTGTGCTAGGCAAGTGAGTTAACACTGCCAGCCATAGTGTTCGTTTTTTTTTTTTTTTTTTTTGCCATAGTGTTTTAACCTTGAAGATTATTGATTTAAACAGTCATCCCAAATGAAAGATACTTCATGTTATATTTTTATGTATATTTTAGGTAAATTAAAAAATAACATATAGTAATAGGTTACTTTTGTTTCTTTAGCTTATGAAAGTAAAGAAGTTTCAAAGGAGTCTACTCTTTTAAGATAAATAGAAGGGATCATTTTTAATGTCCATTAGATGATTTTAATAATGTATATATTGAAAGAAGCTGGCTGTTAGACATCAATTGGAAATCAGCTGATGGCATATGTATATCACTGTGTGTGTGTGTACAACTCCAAGTTTGGAATTAAAAGTGTTAATATATATATTAATTATTTAGGAAACGTTGCAATATTCCCAAGCAGGGTTATCTGAAAAAAAGGGCCTTGTTTCCTAGTGTATGGTCAGAATAATGTTATGTACTGGGGGTGTAGCTCAATGGTAGTGCATTTGTCTCACATGGGCAAGCGCGAGGTTCCATTCCTGACACTTAAGTAATTTATAAATCTCCAGGAAGTCCTAAAAGTCAATTTAGTAGAAGTATGTCACCAGTAATCTAACTAGGATAGCTAGATTGTATGCCCCTATTTATCAGTGGACTGTAAGAATCTAAAACGTCACTATTTTACAATCACACTTCATTTCTGCTCAGGCGATTGGATCTCTAGAGACTTCCTAAGTACAATACTAGGATACATGAGAGACTAGACTATGCACATCGGTTATTCTCTCATGACACAACATGGAACTTTTGTGCTTTCCTATGTTACAAACATGTGAAAGGAAGACCACTGAGGAGAGCTGCTGATGAGGTGGTGACCGTGTCGCATGGTCCATAGGCGTAGCAGTCCCTTGACGGGGAAGGGCAGCATGATCAGCACAGAGGAGCACAGGCAACACTGTGTCTCCTGTGAGTCAGCGCCCTGTGACAGTGCATTTCAGAATGAGCCAAGCAAAGAATGTGAGGGGGAGGTGCCCAGGCAGCCTTAGGCCAGGTATCTTGCCTTAGAAGTTGACCTTAGTCCTGAATTACTGTAGAATAAAGCACTGAGTGTTGTAGTCATTTTAAGGGAGCATTAGACAGATGCTTTCTCCTATGTTAAAATAACAGGAGTGATCAAAAGTACTGTGAATATTTAGAATTTTTCAAACCTTACTGCACTATAAGATACATTACCAAAAACGATGGGATAACAGTGTACAAAGCAAGGAGTGTTCTGAGGAGGATTAGTGGCTTTATGTCTTTTAGTGTAATAATTTAAATATTCATCATATATTTTGAACACTGTTCAATGGTCAACAGTTTATGTTGATTTCTGTCAAACAAAAACACTATGGTAGCGCCAGGCACAGTGGTAGGCACCTGTAATCCCAGCATTCAGGAGTCTAAGGCAGCAGGATCACTACAAGTTCAAGACCAGCTTATGCTACAAAGTGAGCTCCAGGCCATCCTGAACTGCATAGGGAGATCCTGTCTCAAAGACAAAAATGAAACAAAACCAACCAACCAACAAACCAACCAAACAAACAAAAAAAAATGAAAACACTGTGGTATCCTCATCCACTTTCTTCACTGGATCTGGCACCTTGCAACTTGTGTTTCTTCTCCAAGTGAAAATGACCATGAAAGGTGAATGTTTGGAATGGATTCAGGACATCAAGCCAATCATGAGAGACTGACTAAATATACTTATGAGAGAGGGCTTCCAGAACTGCTTCAGAAAGTGGCAAGAATGATAAGAGTACGTTGAGGAAGGTTGATAGCAATGTCTTTCCTTTATTGTGATTTTTGAAAATTTAAACACTTGATTTATCAGTTCAGTCACCCCTCATAAAGACATTTGTTCTTTACCAGCAGGGGTACAATCTGAGAAACACATTGCACAGATAATTTGACATTATGGGGACATGCGAGTGTGCTTACACGGACCTCAGTGGTAAAGGAAACCTAAGTGGTACAGGTCCATCACTTGACATAGACATTTGGTGTTCAGCGTAACATGGTATACTGTTTGACAGTTCATTTTGTAATAAGTAGAGCACACACTAAGACAATGAAAAATAAGTAAGTACATCATTTAATACCAGTCATTATCAGATATTATGTACAAGTTATACATTTTGTACTCCACAGCATGATAGTTTCGTTTCTAAGAGAATCACCACAAACAGGTGGGCAATTGGTTGTGGAAGGCCAGCTCCATCACCTTGTGATAGCAGTTTTTCTGCTTTATTATAAGCTGCATTGACCACCATCATATAAGCAATTTGCTTTTGACTGAAATGACATTATGGGGCACATGGCTGTGCTTTTGGTAAGCTTTTGTATTTTTATATGTTATTTTATAGACAGAACAATAAAAATGACATAGAATTTCCAAACAAAATGGTAGAAAATCAACAATGGTAGGGTATATTGTGATCTTCAGAGTACTTGTTCAGATTACCAGGTACAGGCATACAAAACTCATCAAACAATGGAAGCACTAACTGTTCCTCATAGTGAGCTTGGAGAAATTAGTAGCACAATTGGGGCCAGGGAGACAGATCAGTAGAATAAGCACTTGCCTGG